ATTGTCAATGAACCGTAGGACAGTCACTATACTGATGGACAAGGGGAGGAGGCAGAGAGGATAGCAGCTCCAGGTACGCTTGGAGAGAGTAGCGATGAAATCTGTATGGGATTACGCCCCAAAGGAAAGCATTTTGATACAAAGCAATAAAGAAGTTTTCCATATGAGTAGCTTGCTGAGGATCTATCCTGGAGGAAGTGCAGCCAGAATGCTCCTTGGAAGCAAGAATGGCCAGACTTCGTCTCACCTATTTTGGTCATGTTGTAAGAAGGGACCATTCCCTGGAGAAGGATGTCATGCTTGGTAGGGTGGAGGGTCGACGAAAGAGGGGGAGGCCTTCAACGAGATGGATTGATATGGTGGCTGCAATGATGGGCTCAAGTATAGCAGGGATTGTGGGGCTGGCGCGGGATCGGGCAGTGTTTCGTTCTGCTGTGCATGGGGTCGCTATGAGTCGAAAACGACTCGACGGCACTTAACAACAACAACAGCTTGCTGAGGAGTGAATCAGATGCAGGTGAAAGGACTAATGGGGGGTCAGATATAGGAGGGGGGACATATTTAGACCTGAGTATTGGGGAACCTTTTTTCCTTCCTGCTGCATCATCTTTGTTAGGATGCTTGTATTATATTTGCATTTCCTGTCTTTAGGAACTCTGGTGGCACAGTGGTTAAAGTATTCGGCTGCTAACCAAAAGCTCAGCAGTTCTGACCCATCCAGCTGCTTCAGGGAAGAAAGATGAGGCAGTCTGCTTCCATAAAAATTCTTAGCTTTGGAAACCCTATGGGGCAGTTCTACTATGTCCTATAGGGTCACTATGAGTCAGAATCAACTCAATGGCAGTGGGTTTGGTTCCTGTCTTTAAGATGGACTAATAAGCCAATGCAATAGGAAAATAAGCATTTGCCCAGAGGCATTGTGTTCAGGCCCCGGGCCTTGGCTTTGGGGGGGTTTGAAGGTGTTTCCAGCTGAACCCCATTAAGGGCACAGGTGTTGAATGGAGGAGAAGCAATGGAGTACTGGCCAACTCCTTAGAGGGAGAGAGGCCTCCACTCTGCCACCAAACCCCTCACAGCTAGCTGTTTGAAACGGTGAATTTACTCAGCTTATTCAGGCAAAAGATTTTAAACTTTTGTTCCCTCATGGCTGAACTTATAAAATGGAGTGAACAACTAACACCTTAAATCATTTGTAGAAACATGGTATACAATTAATCAATAAGAAGTGGGGAAGGTTTTGACCAAAAACTTTACCTCAAAAGTAATGCTGGCATTTACTTTTGTTTCCTTCTCAAACAAGCACGATAACTTATTCAGCTTTCCTAAAGTAAAAATGGAAAGAATAAAAGGAAGGCGTCTCAAAAAGACCTACTAGGGGAAAGCAATTTCAGGCCAAAAAACAATCCATGAGAGAATGCAACAACAAACGCACAGCCGTGGAGTCGGACCCGACTAACAGCGACCCCTCCTTGGGTTTCCGAGGCTGTATCACTACGGAAGTAGATTGCCCCATCTTCCTTCCGAAGAGCGGCTGGCAGGTTTGCCCACTGGCACAAATTCTTGTGAGTTTGGGGTTTTTTTTTTGTTTGTTTGTTTTGTTGTTGGATAAACTCTTGTATTGTACTGCTTTAAAATTCATATTTAACTTTTTCAGTATGTTTCATCCTTCCAACTAAGACTGTAAGCTCTTTGAGGAAATAGCTCTATCATGCCTCTGCTCCCCACTCCTCAATGTTGTTGTTGTTGTTATGTGCCCTCCAGTCGGACCCTACTCATAGTAACCCCTTTTTGGGTTTCCCAGGCAGTATCACTATGGAAGTAGGTTCCCCAAACTTCCTTCCGATGAGTGGCTGGTGGGTTTGAACTACCAGCTTTCTGGTTATCAGTCAAGTGCCTTAGGCACTATGCTACCAGAGTTCCCCCACTCCTCAATGGCGGGAGTCATAATGTGCTCAATTAATACATTAATATATAAATCAATAAATAAAACAACCTCACTGTCATCGAGTTAGATCCGACTCATAGTGACCCCTCGTTGGGTTTCCCAGGCAGTATCACTATGGAAGTAGGTTCCCCAAACTTCCTTCCCAGGAGTGGCTGGTGGGTTTGAACCACCAGCCTTCAGGTATACCACCAGAGCACACTTAATCTATGGAATCTTTCAATCTTCCATTTTTAAAAATGCACATGGGTTATCCTTTCTGTAAATGGACACTCAATGTATTTATAGTAAAACTCGAATGGTGTAGGGCCCAACCAGTGCAAACACATTCTTTCTCATTCTGCAGACCTGCATTCTATTGGCAAGGGATTGCTTAGATCTGAAGAAGATAAAGCGTGGGTTTCTTTTAGTGTACTTGTATTTAAAACAAGCAACTGAAAGTGCTTTGGATTTTGTGCTGTATCACGGTGCAAAACCGTGGCAACCGTGCGTGATCTGGCCTGTTTCTTCTTGCAAAACTAAATACAGACACCAGGTAATATGTTCCAAACCCACTCGACCCCTGAGTATGACCACCTGAAGTTGAGGGTTGGTCTCGCACATCACCATCCACACTGCTAGGCCGTGAACCAAATACAAACCGTGGCCTTTTGAAGGAAGCGGGCCCACAAGGAGGAGCTGTACGCACAGGAGCAACCTCTGGATACAGTTAGAGCCCTGTTCCCATGCTTCTTGTCCAAAGACAATTCTAAATAACAAGCGCGCATAAAACATGGGCAGAGCCGTAAGCCTACAAGATGGACACGTGTGGACTGGTGGTAGACTGAGCGAGGGAGCAAACCACGATAGGTGCTGAGTTCACCCCGATGCTGAAGTGTGCGCTAGCGAATAACTGTGCGAGTGGGATCTGCTCCGGAACCGATGGCCGCGGTACCCGGCACTGCTTGTCCTCGAGGACAAAAAAAAGCAGGTGGCTTTATTTCAGTAATATGAAAGCTGGAACCTAGCCCGAGCACAGAGAAGGAAGAGTACCGCTTCAGGTACACATCATCTCCGTTGCTGCTAGAGCATTACCCGAAACTCGGTGTCAGACTTCCTAACCCAGGCCTCTAGCTGCGCTGGAAGCGCAGAGAGGGAACAGCTTCGCTGCCCAGCGAGCTAGCCCTGCCGCATCCCCTAGTCAGCTCCGGTGGCCCCACGCGCACGCCACCCTGCCTAGCAGTCAGCAGAAGATTCCATTTAAAAATAACACCCACGTGCGCTGGTAAACAAGCGCGCGCCACTGACGGGGCCGCGCGCCCTGGGCAAACCAGTGCGGCGCGCGCCCGCCAACCTCCCGCACGTGTAGGCTCACTCCGCCCGCACCACCCCGGCGCGCCTCCGTCTCCTCCTCCTCCCGGGGCCACGTACCGCCCCTCGTCCGAACGCTCCGGGGCCCTAGCGCCCCCTGCACTTACAGGAGCCCACAGCGGAGTGCTCTCCAACTTTGCTCCTTGGGACGCCTCCTCACCGCGGCAGGACCCGTCGCCCCAGGTCTGCTCCCTGCAGTCCTCCCCAGTCCTCTCACACCCCCTAACCCCTTTTAACCCTCCCTCTTTCAGCTCTCGAAGATTTGGCTGCTGGGTAGCTCTCTCCTATCCTCCTCTCCTCCCTCCCCTCCGGGCTTCTTTAGAATTTTACTCGATTGTTTATTATTTGCTGGGGGGCGGGGGCGGGGGGGGAGGAGAGGAGCGTCTGGGGCCTGGAGACTGCTGGTCGTGGCCAGTCAGCGCGCTACGTGGCTTGACGAGTAAGCCGCGCAGCGAATGGCGGCGCGGCGCAGAGCTCTTGGGTCACGCGCGTGTGGATACAATGACATCATCTGTTTGTACGCGTCGAACTAGCTTGGTGCAGGGGCGGGGTCACGCGTCATTTGATTGACGGGTCCCGGGCAAAGCCCGGATCCCGGAGTTCTGGTGATGGGCGGATTCTTGCGTACGCTCTATTGGCCCTTTTTGTATATCGGGTTGTTGTGGAGCCCAATTATAGTCTTTAAAATAATTTCCGGTGATTTAGAAGGATTTTATATAAGAAAAAAAGGTATTTATGAACCTAAGTGGTTAGACTTTTTGTGTGCATGTTGCACGTACTGCATTCTTAATGCTCAAATGAACGATTTGGGCACAGGACGCAGGATAAGGTCTTGTGAAGATGTTCTTCTAAACCTAGAGGAATATCTTTTTAAAGAGTAAAAGAAAAAAAATGCATTCAAGCGGTTTTTACATCATTTACAAATTAAAATCAAGTTATTTCCCATTTACTATTGTTCAGAATATGCTCTTGCGTTCAGACATGGGGGATAATTTGCTTTTCTTTCTAAGTTAATTCTACGTCTCCCCGTTTGTCATGAAATCCATTAAAAGTGAAGCACGGTTGTGGTTGAGCGTCCAAAGTAAGGCTCAGTGAAAACCTTCTGGTTCCTGACCAAATCTGAGGGCATCAAGTTTATCGAAGTCCTGTAGGAACTAACATCTTCGCTTGCCAGTATTTCCACGCCGCGGTAACACTGGCTATCTGTGGTCAGCATCTTATCTCGAGTGTTACCTGGTGTCCGGTTCTAATGAACCGGACACCAGGGCGGGCCCAGAGCTTGGCGTGTGTGCTCGCGTGCCAGGGACCCCCGTGCCAGGCGCTTTGCCCCAAACCGAACAGACCACGCGACTGCGGTCGGTGGGGCGTTTAGAGTTATGAGCTTCCACGTTCCTCCTCCTCGCTTTGTTGACTTGGTGGCCCTGGGAAGGCAGCAAGAGTCCAGGGGGGACGGATGCGGGAGAACGCCGTGCCCTGGCCCGCAGCTTGCGCCCCGACACCCACGCCCGCATACCCGCGGGGCGGGGCCGCGTGCGCGCGAACACACACACACACACACACACACACACACACACACAGCACACCCCGGACCGTCGCCCCAGCCCTCCCCCTGGGCGGGGATCCGCCCGCCCGTCGTCAGTTTAGGTTGAGGCTCCCTGCGTGTGTCTATAACTTTGTGCTGCTGCCGCGGCCGCCCAGCTCGGTGGAAGGGAGGAGGAGGAATGTGGAAGGCGGCGGCGCGCAGGCTGACAGGCGGCTCCTCTGGCGGGCTACGGCGGCGGCCGGAGCGTCTCCCCTTCGCCGAGGCTGCGCGCCCCCTCCTCGCTGTGCCCTGGGCCCCCGCGGGATTGCGCGTCCTCCCGCCTCGTCCCTGAAGGGAAGGAACCGAGGTAGGCGCCGGAGCTGTGCAGCGGGGCGGCCGCCTTCCAGTGACTCCGGATCTGCTTCCGAGCTGGGCCAGGCGCTTCCCTTTTCCCTGTCTGTGACTTGATGTGTGCGGCCCCCCTTCTCTCCCTCTAGTGTTTTTAAAGGACTTGAGTGAAGGGAGAAAAACTGTCAAGATGGCAGCAGCGGGAGCAAGGAGGTGATGAACGCACTGGTCCGGGTTTTCTCGAAGCCCTGGAGACTTGGCGCTTCTCGACCTGTTGGGAGATTTATGCTTCCCGATTTGCCCTTTCTGTTTTCTTTCCTTGGGGGCGAGAGGGACTGAAGGCACAACGTTTACGGGAAAATAAACGACACAAAATCTCAGAGTGGCCGTTCCTGTCCACCTCGACCCACTGCGAACACCCGCCGAGCTGTTGTCCCCTTTCTTTCTGCCTTTTTGTTTTCTTCTTCTCTTTTTTTAATTTGAAGTCCGCGGGCAAAGAAGGAGAAAGACGCTGCTTGAACCATTCCCGGGCTTAGGCCCCTCTGCGGGGGGTGAAGGGGTGGGTAGCAGGGGAATGGCGGAGGCAGTAAGGCTGGGGAATAGAAGAGCCCAAGACGCCAGACTTGCTGCTGAAGAGGCACTTGAGGGGGCCTGAGCGAAACATAAACAAACGCACGCCCGCCCGGGCCCGGGCTTGGACCGCGGCGCTGCTGCGCCAGCACCGGCTGCAGCCCACTTTAAAGGCGCGGCCCGCGCCCCTCCCCCGCCCCCGCCCCCTCCTCCCCGCCTTCTCCTTCCCCGCCCCGCCACCTAGCCCAGGAGAGACCTGCAGATCTGGCGGCGGCGGGGGGAGGGGGCTGCCCCGTGCGAGCCTGTCGATTCGCTCTCGCCTCTTCCGCGGCCTGGCCAGGGGGCGGTGTCTGCTGCGCCAGGTTCGCGGGACGCACGTCTCCAGGTCTGCCTGCTCCTGCTAGGCGGGCGCGGCGCGGTGCGGTTCGGGAGGCGGCGGCGGCGGCGACGGCGGGCGAGGACTCGCGGAGGACTCGGCTCCGGCCCGGGATAACCAATTCTTTTTCTCTTTTCTCTCGTGCTTCCTCAGGCGGCAGCACCAGCGGCGGCGGCGCCCGGGAGCCACAGCCTTCGCGGCGCCCCCGTTCCTCCCCCGCCGCACCCCGCCCCGGCGAAAGAGGAGAGCGCGAGAGCCCGAGCCGCGGGCGGGCGGGAGGCGAAGATGGCAGAGGCACCGGCCTCCCCGACCCCGCTCTCGCCTCTGGAAGTGGAGCTGGACCCTGAGTTCGAGCCCCAGAGCCGGCCACGCTCCTGTACGTGGCCCCTGCAGAGGCCGGAGCTCCAGGCGAGCCCGGCCAAGCCCTCGGGGGAGGCGGCCGCAGACTCCATGATCCCCGAGGAGGAGGACGATGAAGACGACGAGGACGGCAGCGGTGGAAACGGCTCGGCTATGGCGATCGGCGGCGGCGGGAGCGGCACGCTGGGTTCAGGGCTGCTCCTTGAAGACGCAACAAGGCTGCTGGCTCCCGGAGGGCAGGACTCTGGGTCCGGGCAAGCCCCCGCGGCGGGCGCGCTGAGCGGGGGGACGCAGACGCCGCTGCAGCCTCAGCAGTCGCTGCCACCACCGCAGCCGGGGGCGGCTGGGGGCTCTGGGCAGCCAAGGAAATGCTCGTCGCGCCGGAACGCTTGGGGGAACCTGTCCTACGCCGACTTGATCACCCGCGCCATCGAGAGCTCCCCGGACAAACGGCTCACCCTGTCCCAGATCTACGAGTGGATGGTGCGTTGCGTGCCCTACTTCAAGGATAAGGGCGACAGCAACAGTTCGGCGGGCTGGAAGGTGCGTACCCACCCTGACGGGTCGACTGGGCGCGCAGGGCCTCCTGCGCAGCGCAAGACTAGCCTCGGATTCGTTGAAGCGCGCCTACGGGCGCTAGGGAGAGAGATTGGCAGTAGGAGTCTCTGTTGCGAAGCTTTTGGGGTTTTGTATGGGTTCTGGAGAAGGGATACCTGGGGACAGTTGTGGAGTTGTAAGAGGTTCCGGGAGAAGCCTTGGGACTAGTTGGGTGAGGAGAGGGGGTCAAGGGACGTCGGTGAGGGAAGGACAGACAGGAGTGCAAGTTGGATTCCGGGACAGCGCGTAGGAGATAGGTCTACGCCAACTTCGGAATGGAGTTAACCGTGGTGGGCGTTGATCCGACACAGTGGGTGGCATGTAGAGGCGTGGGGGAGTGCTTGGGGCTTCGTCCCCGGAGGAGCGGTTTAATATGTGGTTTCCAGTGGATCGTTAGAGCTCGGTGCCTGGCCAGTGGTTACTTTAGGTCTAGGTTTTGGGTTTGTGGGTGTTAATTCCCAACAGGCACTTCGATCCCATCAGAAAAAGAAATGATTGCAAACCTTGTCCTGAGCAAGCCCCCTTCTTTGCTTGTGTTGACATTTTTATTCTTCAAAGCTGTCACTCCAGCAAACTTGCTCCCAGTAGCCTCCCAAATAAATGTTCTTGGGCTTTGAAAGGGCCAGCCCTTTCATATCAACGCAGATTAGCCGCACCTGCTGCTCCTGCTGAGGCCTGGACGCTGGATTTTATGTGTGTGTCTCCAGATGTGGAGGACTCTGGGGACTGTGCTTTATCTAGACCCGAGGGGGTGAGGTTTGGTATCAGGGCTGGGTAGTAATGGCTTCTACGTATAAGTGAACCTGAAGAGAGACTACTTACCGTTCCTTTTCAGCCTCTTGGGGTACCCGGCACGTGGTAGGGAGAGAGGTGTGGAAAGACCTATGATGTAATGACTTCCTGCAGTTGGGCATCCAAAGAGGTTAACTCCTCTGTTCCTGCTGGGCTGCTGATACCCAGCTTCTTTGCTCGTCCTGGGCGCCCCACCCTCCCTGGCCGAGATACCGATGTGTCACCAGCAGGCAATCGAGAGGCCTGCATTCACGATAGACATTGCTTATCATTGTATTTGCGATATGCCTCATTTTCATTTTTTTTTTAAATAAATTAAAGAGCTAGTTCCTTGTTTCTTTGGGCCTTTCTTTCATTATCTTTGGGGAGCCCTATGTCTTTGGGGGTTTCATTAGGTGCATAAAGAAAGAACAGTTTAAACTTGGTGAAATGAATTGAAATGCTGGAAAGAAAAATGTATGAAAAAGCTCAAGAATTTGATACACAGAATGTTTTAATTTACTTTTAGAAAAACTTTGCAAACAAAGTGTCTTTTCTAATGGTTAGTATTGAAGAGGCTATACTGGTAGCATAGTGGCTAAGACACTTGCCTGCTAACCAGAGGGCTGGTGGTTCAAACCCACCAGCCACTCCTCGGAAGGAAGGTTGGGCAATCCTACTTCGGTAGTGATACTGCCTCGGAAACCCAAGGAGGCACATAACAACAACAACAACAACATACCTTAAAAAGCTACATGTCAGTTTCTGTATTATTCCACAAACGTGCCTCCTTTCTTTTAACAGATACTGACTGATACAATATGAATCTTCTATTTGATCTAATTTTATTGCTTTACAAAGGAATGCCAGTTTCATCATATGAAGCCTGTTTACAGAAAGGGTGAGAGTTCTATTTTAAAGCAGTGCTAATGTGATACCTTTTAAAACTGAGTTTCCAATTGGATGGCAGGGGTTAATCTCAATGTAGTGTTAGGAGAGGTGACTTTACATGACCTAAAAAAATGAATTTGGAAGTCTGGAATATTTTAAAAATTTCTTATCCTTGACATTTAGCCTTGCATGTTTTGAATTTGGTGCAGAGAATCTATTAAAAGTTTAGCTATCTTTTGTTAAAATGTTAGCATAGAAAAGGTGACAACCTTTAAGATTCGAAGGTAATTTAATTTAACAAATATAATTTCTTGCTATTGTGTTCAAGATAACAATAGTTTAATAGCGTTTGAATTTTTAGATAGTTTACATAAGACAGTGGTATTACCAAACCCAAACCAAACCCACTGCCATGGAGTCCATTCTGACCCATAGTTACTCTATAGGACAGACTAGAACTGTCCCATAGGGTTTCTAAGGCTGCAAATCTTTACAGCAGCAGACTGCCTCATCTTTCTCCTACAGAGCAGCTAGTGGGTTTGAACTGTCAACCTTTTAAGTTAGCAGGCAGGGTTTAACCACTGTACCACCAGAGATCCTTGGTATTACCAAAACCAGCTATTGAGATTTAGCTAATTATATTTTCACATAGCTTGCAAGATTTGCCAGAGATTTGGGGCTAGTAATAAACTTTGTGATTTTATGGCATAGCCATTTTTTTCCCCTCATGGTTTCATTTTTCTTTACTTGCTTTCTCATCTCTCTTTAAAACCTAATGAAATACTGTAAATTGAAATTCCTGAGCTCTGGTAGCATAGTGCCTAAGGCACTTCACTGCTAACCAGAAGGCTGGCGGTTCAAATCCACCAGTCACTCCTCGGAAGGAAGATGGGGCAATCTACTTCTGTAGTGGTACTGCCTCGGAAACCCAAGGAGGGTCGCTATGAGTCGGTCCAACTTGACGGTACAAAACAACAACAACAGGGCTTAATATGTTTAGTATAGGACACACATACTTATTTTTATTTTAACTCTTTCATGGGACATATAGTACCCAGGTACATTTTCTGCCTCTGTGGTTCAGTGGGCACCTCCTATCCCACTTTTAGTGCATGCTGCCATCTGGTAGGAGTCTGTATAATTGTGTCAATCTGGAGAAACAGGCCTTATCCCACCAACTCCAGTATCAGTGACCTCATGGGACATATATATGTCCCATATTGTATCAAAACCTATATTATTGAAAACATATGGTTTCAGCAAAAAATTCAAAGCAGGAAATAATTCATTGTTGAAAGGGTTGAAATTTTACACCAGTTTTTTTCCCAATACCCTGTGGCAACTAATCCTTAAAGACTGTAGGGATATAATTTAGTTGAAGAGTTTTTGTATGATGACCTTCCTCAAAAGATGCAGCTATGCGGGAACTTCCAAATCTTTGATGATGGAGAAGGCCCTTTGAAATTGGGACTGGTTTCATATTCTGGTTATGACTAATAGCCAACCTTTTTTTGCTGTGGCTTAGTTGGGGTGGAAGAAGAGGGAAAGGGAGAGGTCAAGAGCTAATTGTGACCCATTTCCATGTGTCCATGTTTCAGGGGTTAATTCCTATTGTGATTAATCATTTTGGAAGCGTGCACACTACTTTCATTCTGAGTTATGCTTTAGGATTTTAACTTCTGAAAATGTCTAAAATTCAGGTTAGCCTCAGTCATGTGTACATATAGGGCACCATACACAGGCCTAGGTATTATTTCTTTCATGGCTGTTAGAGCCACTGTGTTGAGATCCTGTAACAAAAATTATCATCCTAAGGTCATGGAGGGAGCTCTGGTAGCATAGTGCCTAAGGCATTTGACTGCTAACCAGAAGGCTGTCGGTTCAAACCCACCAGCCACTCCTCGGACGGAAGGTTGAGCAATCCGCTTTCGTGGTGATACTGCCTCGGCAACCCAAGGAGGAGTCGCTATGAGTCAGGTCCGACTTGACAGCACATGACAACAACAACAAGGTCATAGAATGAAAGAACTAGAAAAGGGGACTTGGAGAATCTAGAGTCTAGACCAGTGATTCTGACCCCATATTGGAATCACCTGGGGAGCTTTGAAAACAAAACCCACACCCAGAGAATCTGATTTAAGTAGATTAGTGTGACTTGTTACGTGCCATTGAGTCAGACCCAACTCATAGAGACCCCTCCTTGGGTTTCCAAGGCAGTATCACTATGGAAGTAGATTCCCCAGCCTTCCTTCTGAGGAGTGGCTGGTGGGTTTGAACCGCCAGCCTTCTGGTTAGCAGTCAAGTGCCTTAGGCACTACACTACCAGAGCTCCTTGTGTGACTTAGAATATTTTTTTCTAAGTTTCTCGGATTATTCCATTGTATACAGCCATGATGAGGTTTGCTGATAGGTCCAACCCCCTTATTTTATAGGTAAAGAACCTGATTCTTAGAGAAGTTAATGACATTCCTAAGATTACAGAGATAATTGGAACCCCCAGTTTTAGGAGATTTATGCTTTATTACATGATTTTCCTCTTTAAATTAGTCTTCTTAAAAGATTATTTATGAAGTAATGGGTAATCTTACATGAGTAGAGTTTGCTTTCCTGAAAAGCACATTTGCCTCTCAATCTAAAAACATCTTAGTTATTAATTCAACATTGGAAGTATAGATGAATAGTGATGGAGGCTGAGTATATCATGTTTGTATAGCTGTCCAGTGCTTGTCAAATATAGGTCTCTAGGAACTGCAACAAGAGAGATAGCATTTTAATAGAAGGAGGACGCCCTTCATTAACTTATATTTGTTAGTATGTATATGGAGTCCTGGTGACATAGTGGTTAAAGCTCTTGGCTGTTGGCTGACAGGTTGGCAGTTGGAACCCACCAGTGGGAGAAAGATGTGGTAGTCTGCTTCTGTAAAGACTTAGTGTCTTGGAAACCCTATGGGACAGTTCTACTCTATCCTGTGGGATCACAGAATTGACTCAACCACAGTGGGTTTTTCGGGTTGGTCAGATGTGTATTGTGTCATGAGAAGGGTAATGGCTATCTTATAGGTTCTCTTGGGGATTACATTAGAAATGAATAATGAGCTGTGGTTAAGAGGGGAAAAGGTTACATTTCCTTTATTCAGATTAAGCTTCCTTGCACTGCACCCATGATTGAACTGGTTCCTCCTGCCTCAGGGAGACTGCTGGGACTCCAGAGTTTACCTGGATGAGTACTGTTTATCACTTATCCTCTGTCCATACCTGCGTTTTCCATAGGTCAAGGCACTATC